AAAGTTTAAAAAGTTATACAAGTAACAACAGTTCATTAAATAATCTTGATATTAACTCTATTCTCTTAAACATTGATTTTAACAATGGTAAATAAATACAAATTTTGTTAATTAGATTATTAATTGTTAATTTATTTATTACTAACAATCTTTTTTATTCTTGTTTAATTAATTAATTAGATTCTAATAATAAGAGAAAAGATGTTGAAACATCAATGGATGATTAATTTAGTCCCCACTATAAACTTATTATATTTTTATACTTAAAACTTTGTTATATACAATAATGTTTTGAAATAATAAATACAGTATTTTACACTTTTAATTATTGTTCTGGAGCAGAGAAACACTTTGAATTGGAGTTTTTTCTTTTTCCTTGCATTTGTTGATTGTTGATTTTCTCTTATTTCACATAATGGTGGAAACACCATTTGTAGTATAACATCACTCTGATGAGAATTCTTTATTAATGATATTATTATTATGTTAAATGTGCATTATAACATTCATTTTTAATTTCAAAAAGGTATATTAATTTTGTTATTATAAACTAATTGACCAAAAAGATAATTTTCATTTAAACAAGATGTAATGTATTTATAAATGAGTTAAATAATAATTGACTTGGAAAACCTTTCAATTTACTGTTGATTTAAAAATGATGGTGTTTGAATGATGTGGATAAGAAATTGCATTTAAAATCACGTTTCAACGAGTTGCAAAAACGTTTAATATTAAATCATCTTATTCGAATTATTTGTTTTATTTGTTTTATTCGAATAGACACCCAAATTGAGCAGGCTCGAGTGTAAAACTTGCATTTTCAAGTTCAAAAAAATTTTGTTGTATATAGTTTTTTAATAGTAATCACGTAATAAAATTTATTATTCCTTCTGTACTTTTTTGATTGATATGTTGACAAATAAATAAATGCGGAATAAAAAAATCTTTTATAAATTAATACTTGTCAACTTTAATGTCATCATCAGACCCATGTTAAAAAATAAAGATGACAAAAACTTCTGTTAATATTTCATTTAATTTCCTGACTAATAAATCCTGAAAGCTCACAACTAATGGAATTGAGAAAATATAAGGTTGCTTACCACTTTTCTCTGTCATCATTCAAATGAGCCAAACTCTTATATTGTTCTTTTCATTCGTTTTCAAATCCAAGTTATCAATTATCAAGCAAGTTTGTTACATACAGTGTGTTACAAAAATAATTGGCCAAAAAGCCATGTGATTTAAAACGTGATAACTTTTTGCATAAACAATAATATCACATTGCATTTTACACACACGTTTGTTATTGTTTTTTCTTACTTGTAATACAGTTTTTAAAAAATTTTATTATCATATTATCACAATAAAGCCGTAACCATGACATCATCAGATCTAGAATCACAATGTCAGACTATATTACATTTTTGGAAGAAGGGTGTCCATAAATCCCAAGAAATTCATAAATTAACAAGCATTCCACTATCTACTATTAAATATAATATTAAAAAATTGAATGATACAGGAACTTTATTCCATAGACAAAAACCTGGATGACCAAAGAAGGTTACACGAACTGCAGAGAGAACTCTTGGGCAGTTTCTTCAAAGAGATCCTACTCTTTCTTTAAGAAGTTTGGCCAATAAACTATCCAAGTTTGATATAAATCTTAGTTATGTTACAATTAAACAACATCTAGATGAGCTTGGTTATAAAAATTCATTACCAATTGGTACACCAATGCTCACAACATCTCATAAAGCTAATCGTGTGGAATGGGCTAAAAAACATTTAAATGATAAATGGAATAAAACTATTTTCACTGATGAAACTGCATTCCAACTATTTAGAAATACAATCACGCAATGGCATAAAGGCCCTAGGCCAATCAGACCACTTCCCAAAAATAGACAAAAAATGTTTGCGTGGGCTGGATTTTGTAGTAGGGGAAAAACAAGTTTATTTTGTTTCACACAAATAATGGATGCCAATTTTTATGTCGAAATTGTTGGAAAACATCTTCCTGAAATTAATAATATGCTTGGAAGTTGTTGGAGATTTCAACAAGACAATGATCCCAAGCATACAAGCCGGGTTGCTAAAGAATTTCTTAATGAAAATGTTCCTATGATCATTGATTGGCCATCCAATAGCCCTGACCTTAATCCAATCGAAAATTTGTGGGCTATTGTCAAAAGGAATGTAGAAAAACATATGCCAAAAAATTTGGATGACTTGAAACAATTTTTAGTTGAAGAATGGGAATTAATTCCAGACAGTTTATTAATCAATCTTGTTAATTCAATGAAAAATAGATGTGAACTTATAATTGAAAATAATGGGGAAAGAATTTCTTATTAATTTTATATAAATAAAATCATATCATTTCCAACTTT